AAAATCGATACAGGGCTTTAGAATATCGATACAGTATCGGGAAATGAAATATCGCGATATTTCAGTGTATCGATATTTTCTTACACCCCTAATATGGACAATGTAAATTCAAATTTATTTTTGATATYTACGGCATTTTCATAACAACTGAAGGCTTTTGTGCTGTAGAATTGAACAACTGAATCAAACACAGAATCCCCCACCCCACCCCCAAATATTTATTCAAAGCTGCACTCTGGCTGATCTGTATTTCTGATTTCATCACATTAGTTATAAAAACACTGAGTTGGGCGAATCTTGGTGCCAAACGAGCGTGCAGTTAAATAATAAAAGTTTAAAGTGAAGTCTTGATGGGCCCTAAATACCATTTTCAGCTGGAACATTTCTCTTTGCTAACCGTTTGTTTGTCTGTGAAGCCTCATCAACCAGTTGAAACCTGGCATCATCAAGCGGGTGAACAGGCTCTCCACTCCTATCGCCGGCCTGGTGAGTGACACACTTCACACTTCAGCCTTCTGATGTGTGTTGATGCAACTATAATCACAGCAGGAGACGCAGACAGAGAGAGGGGAAAAGAAGCACCTGCTAGCCAGGAAGTGTTGACTCTTTGTGTGGTTTCCTGTTAAAGTGCCAAGACACAAGGTGCCTCTAGTTTGAATGAACTCGAAACTGAATTTCAGGGCCATAACCAACCCAACTGCTGAATGCAGAAAATTATACTGAGCATCAATGCAAGATGGAGATGTTTCTCATTTTGGCTCCAGGCTGTGTTTCAGTGGCTGTACACGAGCGTAATTACCAAACCTGCCCGAAGCAAGAGCAGAGGAGGATCAATTCCYACCTCCCCAAAGAGGCCAACAAACTGCCAGAGCGTGACGGCGAAGGCAGGCGTGTTGGTTGTGGTGGAGAGGTGTGAGAGGCAGAGAAAACACCCTGACTGAAAAATCATCATCATTAGGAAACAACTTGGCGTGTCACAGCTAGGTGCTGGTGATTTTTTTTTAAAAAGACYAAAGAAAAAAAACGTGATGGTTGCATTAAATCTCCAAAACCACTGTGGTGGCACGATTTACCAAGAATGCAGAAACACGTTGGAATAAATGCACAGAAAGTCTGCGTGTATGGTCGTCAAATGATTTAATTTGAGCAACAACAGATCAGAAGTCAATCATAGAAGTCTGTCAAGTTGTGGCTGGCTCGTCATTGCAGAGCAGCCGATAAT